GAAGGGTAAGTAGTTCCTGCCCTTCTTGTGGCACAAAGCTAAATTCATGGCCATTTGGTAGACTTGTAATTAGTTATGACTAAATCTATACAAAATGCCTCCTTATTCTTTTATGATTAAAGTCCTGTCACTACAAAACGACATTTATTAAACATACGTCTTGTTTAAAGGTAAAAGTTTATAAAATTTACCTTTATGTATTATAATCAATTTATTTATCATGTACCAGTTACATGCGAAAGACTATTCCAGCTTGTAGGTTTTATAGTCATTCTTGATCGACGTACAAATAAAACCAGTAACTGTTAATTATTAAAAGATTACTGGAATCACCAAAAATTCTTGACAATACAACAGACCACACCAAAATCTAACACATACTCTTCCAAACACCAAAAAGACGCACTAACAAAAACAAACAACAACGAACAGCACATGGTCCATATAACCTGACTTCGTTCAAGGGTATAAGGTCGCACCGGTCCCAAACCGATCCGGCACCAAGTCGATCCGTCCCACGTCGATCCGGCGCCAAAATAAAAAAAATGAATAATTTTTATTCACTTCGGAGGATTTGGTGACATATTTGAATCGGGATAAATGGAATTTGTAAAAAGTATCGATGCTTAATGGCACGCAGGTAAGTGAAGTATGCCTAATATTGGAGTAACATTCAGATGAATTATTTTAAATCTATGTAAAGCAGCATCAGTATATAAATATGAAGTTATTTTCCATGATAACTTGGAATATCATGGGGAAAAGGATTTTATTTAATTCACACATAGAAGTGATAAATAGATATGTACAATCCAATGGAACATGTAATTATGTAATCATCATAAATGACTTGTTTAAATCAAATCATTAGTCTATAATTAGTTTGTTTATTCAACAATTGTCTGATGATCGTGAACCAAATTGACGCCAGTCGTAATCACTTAATTCAATCAAAATCATGATTGATTATATTTACTTAAGCAATAAGGTCTTTTGTTTGAAGTTCCAATAAGTAATTGTTACATTTTTTTCAGGTTAAATGAAATAGAAATGTACTATTATTTCTTTTTACCACCGTCCTTTTTTTTTTTTTTTTTTTTTTTTTGTATCATCGAATTGTGGTATTAACAGAAATACTTATCCTCTCTCCTCTCTTATAGAAAGGATTCGGCAAATCAAACAACATTTCTCAATTTGAGAAGTTTTTAAAACTTTAAACAAAAACAAAGTTTGTCTACATCATCTTGGGGATAGGCTTGTATAGTTGTGAATGTAACTATTTGTTATTACACCAGTTGAAAGACTTGTTAAGATCACAGTCAATTGAAAAAATGCAAATTACTGCTGATTTATGTTGATGGTATTAAATTCTGTTATATATGTTTTTATTATTATAATTATGCATACCCAATAATCTTCAAAACTTGTTATAAAAACATAATCAACATAATTGTTTTATACTGCATAATCATCCGTATTCATCTAAGGTAATACATTGATTTGAATTCAAATATTTTATATCAAAATAATATTATATTTCTATATGATTTCTTAATATAAATTTTTTTTTTTTAATATTCAAATAAATGTCTCATCTTATGAAAATTTAATATTCAAATATTCGCCAAAGGCCAACTTTTTTACCGTCCACCTTTTATATTATTATAAAATTCATAAACATTTATAAATTACACTGAATTCATATATATATTTATTTTTATTCCTTATAGATATTTTCTATATTGGGACCGGATCGACTTTAAATATCGGACCGGATCGATTTGGGCCGGATCGACTTGGGACGGAACGACTTGGGACGGATCGACTTGGGGCTGAATCGACATGAAAGCTGTACAAGCACACAATGCAGTTTATGCAGCTGAAAATTTCGTCTCCGAACGTATCACCAGCCCAGAAGTCAACACTTTTGTATTCGCATATCATATCATTAATGTGTTCATTTTCTGTTTGTCAAATGTTGAAATATTCGGAACACTAAGGTTTTTTTCTACCGACAATTATAGATTGCCTAAGCTGTATTTGGCACACCTTTTTTTGAGTTTCCGTTTTTAATTCTCTTTAACTCTTTTAATTCGAGCGCCACTGATGAATCTTATATCCGTCTGGCGTACCAAGTTATAAGTATTTTACTCATGTAGCCAATATGTTGTTAAACAAACACATAGAATAAAAATAAGGAGATGTGGTATGATTGCCAATGGGACACATATCCATCAACATGAAATGTGAAACAATTCATACGAGCAAACTAACGTCCTAATTTATAACAAAACAATTGACGAAAAACGAATATGACGGACATGAACCAACGACAACCACTGACATAAAGACTCCCGACCTGGGACAGGCACATACAACATTTAACATATTTGTGAGCGCTCAACACTTCCCTAACCTGGGATAGTGGTGTAACAGCACAACACAAGAACAAACCATATAAATCAGTTGCAATTGGCTTAACTCAAAAGATCAATACGAGGCACAAAAACAGCTAACATAAAATAGACACAAAGCACCGAAATATGAGTACTCATAGTTACCGAAAGCTAGTTCAAAGCCAATTACAACTAACAAGTAAATCACAAATAAGTCCCGTTTAAGAAGCTTGCTAAAGTACAATCTTGACAGCGTTCTTGTTTAAAGAGAAAACAAAGTTACTGACTTACATGAACTTGTCTTTTTCAATAGCACTATCTCTGGGCACGTTTATTTAGCCACCAGGGAATTTGTCGTTAATTCATTTTTATCTGGTGTTAGCAGACAAAACTGTACACACTATGGAAAAAGGTTTAAAATGTTTTCTCACAACGTTTAAACACTACCATATTTCAAAATTTTATTTCGATCTAGTCAGCCAATTTTGTCGGGAGTTGTGAATTGCATTTAATTCTTTAATTAAATATTTGAATTAATTCATTTTTTTAATTTTTTACACAGTTTCGAATTTCCGTTTAGGAGTCAATGTGTTAGGTTTATCAGGCTTTAATATTAATATATTTAAATATTGTCCAGTCGTTTCAGACTGTGTTTTTAAAAAAAGTATTGCGTATATTATATACTATCGTTGTGACGTCATACAATAATTGTACATTATTTTATCATTGAATCTAATACATTTTATGTATCTCGTATTGAATTTATTTCTGTAATATTTTTCCAACAGCTAGGAAATAATGAGATATTTTAAACAACTGTTTTTATTTTATATAAACAGGTATGACTAATGTCCGTCATAAGTCTTTCACCCGCACGGCAATTGAATCTGAACATTATTTTATTTCGTCATTTTAAAAATAAAATGTTTATTATATCAATGGTCCTATATAAGAAAAAACACCTGCAATTTTGATAGATGTTTGCATATCTTTAGCATTCATTGAATAATTTGGAAATACGTTCTTAACCAAGACAAAAATTTACTCAGGAAAAAACTTTCAAATACATATTTATTCATCTTGATAATTGTTCTTTGTTGTTTTACAAAAACATGCAAATTTGTAATAGTTTTCATCAATATCTTACATAATAATATGTAGAAAGGAATAGGTTTTGACTGCATGGAAGACTATACAATGTTAAAAAAACGAACTTGTTGAGCATTATATTACTCTGGTTTCAAGCATTGAAAGTTCCACCAAGTTATGTCAAATTTTCGAAAGTGACTGCGAGTAACAAATACAGGGGACGTGGGCATAACTCTCTAATATCTGTCAGATAGTTATGCTATTCTGATGATGTTTTACTAACCGAATTAAACAACCAGATAAACTGAATTAGAAGCAATTATAATCAGTGCTATCTTCAATATTCTTTATCCTAGTAGAAAAATATCGTATCAATTCAAAAAACGTCACTTGGTTGAGCGATTTGTCTAGTTAATTAAAAAAAGTACAAAATTTAGCCTACTATATAGTTTGCCGATCCAAATTTGCGTCGGGCCAACTATTAAGAAAGACAATCTTATCAGAACAGTTCCAGACAACACGATAAAGTCACATTTTTATATAATCAAACGCTTATGATGACTGCGTACTTATAGATCCAACAGAGTAAAATGGAATCTCTCAGCAAGTCGCAATTTCAGAATCTAAAGAATTGCGTCAACAAAATGTTTTTTTTTTTTATAAATTGTCAGCCAATAAAAATTGTTATTATACGGAATAGGTTAAATTTATATCAGGTAAATTTGACCACATATAGCTTTCACTTAAATATAAACACAGTCATGATAGTGAATTGCATTCACAAAGTATTGCTGGCTGCTACATGTATAAAGTACTGAGTCCTCTACATTTGATTTTGGTTTTTCTGGGTTTGCTTTGCCTTCAGACTTTGACTCACCCAATCACTTTATGCATTTGACTTCCAAAATGTATATCTCGTTGATACTTGAAGACGAAAAGTCCAGAATTTAGTGTCATTTAGTTAATTCAGTTAGAAGATAGAGGCGGAAGACACTAAAGAAAAATTCAAACTCATAAGTCAGAGACAAACTTACAACGCCTTTTTTTTTCCTACTCCCACATTATTAAACGGAGAATAATATTGCTATAATGTATAGCACACTATATGTAAACATTAAAAAATGTTAACAGAAGCATTGACTTAAAATGAAAAGATAAAAAAAATATGAATTAACACCAGAAAGAAAGTGATAAAACAACATAAAACGGGGAGAAGATACTAAGAGGGTAATCAAAAACCATAAATTCCAAGAAAACAAACAACACAACATTGATCTGACAAACTACAGACCCCAATCTACATATACAGAAGAAGAAAATAATGAGCAATCAAAACCTACTACAACCCGGGGGTGAACTAAGATGCGGCGGGAGGTTTAGCAGATACTGCTCCACCATTACAGTATAAGTTTTTCCTGGTTCGCATTCAGGTAAATGACCTGAATAAAATATTTAACCATTTTTTTTTTCATAAATTCTAGATATCTTAATTTTCTACAAAGTTACCGCATGTCATTCGTGGGTTAGATAATTTTATTGTTTAAATTTGTAACTTCATTAATAATGATGATATTTCGCTTCAACAACTGAAATGGTGATGTTTTGTTATTTATCAACAATAATGAAAAAAAAGTATACAAAAATACCGTAGATGGAAAAATCAAGCGATATATACAAAAGACTTAAATACACTTCATAAATACAAAATGTCTGAGTTATTGTTGATATGTTAAAGTTTGAGCACAACACTTTTAGTTGAATATAGTCCATTCATGCCAACAGCTGTAATTGTTATATATATGGACATTCCTTTGGAAATTTCAACACGTACAGGAACATGCATTTTTAGAAATTCATGTGTTGTCTCTTGCCACTGAATAATATCAGCTCCATGAAAAGCTGTTCCAACCGACACTTCATAAAATAGAGAGAAGGGGGGCGTGAAAACTTTATTCCATGTAACTGTCAGTGTACGATTCTTCTCCGAAAGTTCTACCCCTGTTGTGTCTAAAAAGAAAATAACATAGTTATATATAAATATCCGTAATTGTTTGTAACAAAAACATTGCTCAATGAATGACAATTCTAGTATTACAATTTTCAACATGTTTAAAATTATCAACTGGTTGAAAAACAATATAAATCACTGATGTAAGAGCATAATGTTCATTAAAAACCCAATACTTTAAAAAAAAAAAAATAAACGAAAATATAAATCATTTCATTTTGGAAAAAGATGAAAGCTAACGAAAGCCATTTGTTACATTTTTCAGTTTGTGCATCGTGGTTATTAAAGGCGACCCTTGACCTATTTTAAGGTTGACTAATGGTTTTCCTTGTACGCTTTTAGTATTTACCTGAAGCAATAGGAGTTTTCGTGAAGATTGTTAAATTGGTAGTTACAGGTTTACTTGATAGAAATGCAGAATTGATTGCTGAAACCGTGGCTAATAATGGCTCATCGTGTAGCTCAAAGCCCCTCAAACTACAGTACACCATTCCACTGTGTTCGTATAGTATTGTCCTCGAAAGGGACACACTCTTCTGCTGGTTTTCAACGTGAACCTTTGAATAAAATCATAATAAATTAGAAGGCATTCATAAGTCTGTAATAAATCATCATACAATTATTTATTATATACTTAGTAGTAAATACATGTAAATTGTATGTGTAAAACGATCAATTGCAATCGTACTGTATCAGCCATCCGTGATTATATCGATATCAGCACGGTTGCAAAGGCTTTATCACACTCTTAATCTGTATGACGTCACGTCATCGACTGATCACTTTATCAAACCCCTAATCTGTATGACGTCACGTCACATAAAAAAAATCTACTTGAGATATACAATAAAGTGTATATGATATGGCTTTTTCAATATCACACACCGTATCAACCCTCAACCAATATAATCCCTCGAGCAGAGCACTTGGGATTATATTGGTGTCTCGGGTTGATACGGATATGATATTGAAAAAGCCATATAATATCCTCTTTATATACAAGTTTGTGACTTTTACAAAACCTTCTATGTATATAGTTTATCATGTTTACTTTGTGTTTGCTGATGTACTGTTACTCTACTATAATAAATAAAAAAAAGAACAATAGGTTTTCATTTAAGCAATCGTCTACGCATGATTATGACGGATGCATGGCTGCTTAACGTCCATTGATAAGTCAAATGCATATTCAGGACTAGAACATATCAATGTGATATGAATATAAACCCTGCTTTGTACTAGACCAACACCTACAGTCGGATGTTAATGTGCTAGTTCACAAGGCAACAGTACACATGAAGACATGACAACCTACCTGGAAATATTATGCTCCTAGCCGATCAGTCTTTGCTCTTACTCCTAAATGCAAATGGATCGAATCCACGAGCTCCCGCAATTGAGACGAGCGCACACTACAACAAGACCACTGAGGCGGTTCATCGACGGATAGATGCAATAACAAACATCTTTTAATCAGTTTAATTGATGGCTGGAGCTGGCATGTCAGTAACTGCTAGTAGTCCTTTGCTAATTTATGTATCATTGTCATTTTGCTTAGTTTCTTTTGTTACCTATTCTGACATCGGACTCGGACTTCTTTTAAACTGAGTTTTGCTGTGCGTATTGCTATGTGTTTATTTATTCTACATTGGCTAGAGGTATAGGGGGAGGGTTGAGATCTCACAAAACATGTTTAACTCCGCCGCATTTTTGCGCCTGTCCCAAGTCAGGAGCCTCTTGCCTTTGTTAGTCTTGTATGTTTTTTTAATTTTAGTTCCTTTATATGTTTTGGAGTTTAGTGTGACGTCCATTTTCACTGAACCAGTACACAATTTTATTTAGGGGCCAGCTGAGGATCACCTCTGGGTGCGGGATTTTCTCGCTGCGATGAAGACCCATTGGTCGGGTTGTTGTCTCTTTGACATATTCCCCATTTCCATTCTCAATTTTAGTATTATTATAATAGAGTACACATTTGTAAATAGTATCGGCGCACGTATAAATATGTTATTATCCAATTTTTTCATATAGTTGTATATCGTTATCAATCGCACGTATGAAATGTTAATAACCAATTTTTTCATACTGTTGTATATTCTTATTGATTGAAATGCTTATTTTCTTATTATGTGCTTACAATGTAAGAGTCGAAGCCTGAATCATCTTCGAATCCTGACCACTTTAATTTCATAGTTGTAACGTTTCCTTGGAAAAGTGGTTTGTTTGGATATTCGGTTACTGGCAGGTCGAGTATCTCTAGTTGTGCACTGTTTGCTGATGGAGGACTGTTTGATATCGTTACCCCATCTGAAGATCTAAGACTGTGTAAACCTGCATTATTGTGGCATCGAAGTGTCACATAAACTGTTCTTGATGACAATAACGTGTGGTCAAACACTTTAGAAACATACGTTAGTTCAGGAGATATTGTAATAAAAGCCTGGACATCATTTCCTGTTTCACTGAACCCTTTGAAATAAGACAAATAGAATAATGTTAAAAGAAAACAATTAGGCATTTTGAGAATTTCAAGTATACAGTCTTACCTAAAGTGTAATAGAAAGACATCATACTGGTTTTGTGAACAACATTTTTACCTTCAGTCTAAACATTGAAATTGAATTACAGTTTACAAAAGTAAAACTTCAAAGTTTTATTTTCATTTACTAGCACAAGCATTACCTGATTCAACTTGACTTACAATATTAAGTGGCAAGATGATTTTCATGTGACAAGACATGACTGTATATAGTTCATATACCATAAATAAGAAGCATCATTGGGTTCCATATTCGTTTGTTCTTATCCATTGAAATGGAGAGATATTTTTTTAGAAGTTGGATAAATATTTAATATATAGTCTCACCTACAGCCCATTCACAATGTGACAGTCCTGACTCTGGATCTTCCACCTTCCAATTAGCAATTATTTCATCAGTTGTTTGACTGTCTATATCATAACCTATATACAAAAGGAGAATAAAAATAATGTTAATTTCAATAGCATACCCATTCTGAAACATAACCCTCTTTTTGCCGAATTTATGGTATCTTCTAAGCCTTACGTTTATGTCATCTGTCTCGGCTAAGCATAACACTTGTATTTTAATTAAAACATACATTATTAACAAATCTTCAAAATCTGCATATACAATATGCATGCCGAAAAGCCAATTAGAACAAAACACATACGTTTTCAATATAGTGAACTTTATTCGATCTTTCTTAAAAACTGCCAAAACTTACCCATTCCATCGTATACAAACTCAATTTGAGGTGGAGTCAAATCAACATATAAAGACTCTGCCGTTGCGATTGAAGACAGTCCTACAGCATTAGTCGCAACAACTGTCACGTGCACTTGTGATGTATGGACCAATGAAATGTTGTAATTGTAGGCAAAAGTATTTAGTCCAACACTTGTATACTTCTGTATTTCTGTACTTCCTTCTTTGTAACCTAAAAATATTAGTTATTCATACTTCTGATGAAGCATCACGTTTGGATGATATACATGGAACAAAGCTTTAAAGATTTAAAATGACAACGATACTTTTACTAAACAACAGTCATTCTGAATGGTCGCCAACAGTAGAGGGAACCGTGTATTGAAGCTGCAGATCTATTTACAAAAGTCTGTAGTTGTGATTGTCATGTTACACTGGTATTCACTTCCCTGAATGTCAGTGCAGCATTGTAAAAAAGGATCTTAAATTCTGAATATACCCTCGTTTTTAAGAGTTACTTGTAACAAATAAACTCATCATAGATATCAGGATTAAAATTTTGTATTTGCGCTAGACGCGCGTTTCGTCCACAAAAGACTCATCAGTGACGCTCGAATCAAAAAAAAGTTAAACAGGCCAAATAAAGTACGAAGTTGAAGAGCACTGAGGACCAAAAATTCCTAAAAGTTTTGCCAAATAAAGCTAAGGTAATCTATTCCTGAGGTATAAAAGCCTTAGTATTTCAAAAATTCAAAGTTTGTTTGGTAAACAGTTAATGTATAATTATGACCATATCAATGATAATTCATGTCAACACAGAAGTGCTAACAATATACTTTTTAACTCATTTGAGGTATGCCCAACCCTAAATTGATGTTGACAAGGTAGCAAATCAAGCTTAGATTTTTGCAAATGACGTCATAAATGCAATATGATATTTCATATTAATTCAGAACTCATAAAATTATTATAAAATTCTTAATGAGAGTTCTAGATTACAGATGAGTCCGGATAGAAAAACATCTCACTCTCGTTATTCATGAACGCGTTATACATTGTTAAAGAGTTCAGCGGAGAATAGTTCATGAATGTTCAGAACGAAACTATTTCAAAATAACGTTCGTTTTTGATCGATCGATGTCTGGTGTTTAACGACACTTTAAGCATTGTTGTCTATTTCATAGCCCCCATTTTTTTTTATTGGCGCACGAAACAGGAGTAATGGGGGAGAACCACTGACCCTTCTGCATGAAAATGGAAATTTTAGTTAATTAATATCGGGGTCAAAGGTACTTTGCAACGAGCTGGGTTAAAACCCACAACCTATGTGTTGACAGGCTAGTGATCACTGTTAATGAACTATTTGACCACTGGACCATTGACTCCCCTCGTTCTTTACTAAAGTGTAAAAATCATCCAAATTACTATCACTTAAAAATTGCATATTAAGAGCGGATTTTTAAGTACAAGTCCACCAGCTAACAGTTCACAGAAAGACATGTCCGCCTTCACGCCTACATTATTCTGACGGAGACCCTGGGCACACATTTCTTATCAAATCGACCATTTTACTATACAAATATAGGTGTCGAGATACACAGAAGAAATATCTGTATAGTATATAGATGACCATCTCGTATCTTATTTCTTTTGCGAGCGAACGGTTTAGGTCAAATTTTTTAATACGTCACGGTTCATTTTGGTGTCCATTTCGCAGTCCGCGTCTAAGCAATTTTGGTTTATTCAACGTCTGGGAATTGAAACTGGACATTTAGTTTAGCGCCAATGTAAAATTTCAGGATAAAAACAATTAGGTAACTACATACTTTGTCGGAAAATATAAGATTTATTTGCTTGCACTACCAAACATAGAAAGCCCGACCCACCTATACAAATGAATTTCATATTTTCAGACAATGTTCGTATATCGTATTATCATTGCTCTTATTCCCATATGTGTAGTATTTTGGTGGATAAGCAGATAAGCCAAAAAATCCTATTTTAAAGTTTTGGTATAAACCTCCAACTTTTGTCACTCGAGGCGACCACTATAGCACGAATCCACCGAAGTGATGTCTAGCAGTACTGGGGAATTTATACATATATGTTAATGCGCTCTACTTATTACTTATGTTGCATTCACTTAAAAAAATATAATTATAAACTTAATGTCTATGTTTTTGCTGGTTGTTGAACCTACCAATAGCCCATGAATATTCCACAATTGGACTCTCTTGATCAATAAATTGCCATGACGCATGAATTGACGACCATTCATGAAGCCATACTGCATTTGATAATACTCGACCAGGATGTGTTTTGTCTTCAGATATAACCACCTTGAAAACTTGAATGTTGTCTATTAGAATTCCAGTAGTTGTATCCGCACTTCCAAAAGTTATGTTGATAGGTTTATCTTTAACTGTAAAGTAAAATGCATGTGGGTGCCATGATACATCAAGTTTTGATCCATACTTATCTTGCTTTTTGTGAATTAGGAAAATATGTCTTTCATTTCCTAACCTGACAAATCCTTCTTTTGTCGAAACAACTGCATCATCAAAAGGAACATGCGCAGTGAAAAATTTGATATTATAAGAACTATCAACTTCTAAATCGTCCAGTATTTGCCAAACATCTCCTCTGACAAATAGAAATGATCGACCATGCATAGCAATAGATTTAGAGGATCCAAGCACACACATGCATGATTTGTCAGAGGAATTCCAATTAATAGGTATAGAATGACCACATATGTCCTCCGTAGATGTATTAGAAATGTCTGTAAAATTAGTGTCGCTCTCTTCAAAAGAGGGATTCATTAAAACAGTCTCTTCAGATAGAAACATCTTCACTGGTCTTGGTGGTGTGTCATCGATCACAACACCATTTGATTTAATAACGTCGGACACATGACCAACGAAATCTACTGAATATACCTTGCTTACGATCTTTGTTCCTAGAAATAAATATGCAGATACGCTGAAACCAAGTTTTATTCAAATAACTTACAAAAGCAGTAAAAACGGTGAGTTTTTTTAAATGAAATAAAACAATAAAATGGTATCTCATATTTTAATTGTACATCTTTAATTCTTAGTTTTGGTCATCTTATCCAATAGTTTTATGATGAAGATCAATAAAACATTGTTCTTTAAGAAAAGGTTTTTATTTTCAAGTGTTTTGATTGACTTCTAAAATTTCATGTTTGGACAAAATCATTTGTTTCCTTTTTTCTTCATTTCGTATTTAATACCACGTAGATGATGTCAATGTATGTTACTTGCATGTCTTAGAGAATATAACTAGCAAATGTTGCTACTAATCTTTTTTTGATATTGTGTTTAGAAAAAAATCGGTCGACAAAAGATGTAATTGCCTTATCTGTCTATATACATGTGCGTTTTTATTGGATTTATTATTGCGTGTTTTGCTCTTCTATGATTGACACTGCAATGTTTATAAAATTTTGATGCGTGATCGACTCACAACATATATACTTTCGAAATATCCAGACGATGCATCAAGTTAATTTCGATATGTTCGAAATTATATTTCATACCTGTATTTATTATCGGTGAATTGATGGATCTGGAAACTGATCTGTGAATACCAACATTTTGATAAGGCAAAATATCGCAATCAGAATTAGTATTGTCAAACTGAACACACCAGTAATATTTCGAAATCCCCGAGTCACGGTCTCCAAAACCATGCCATGAAGCACTTACTACATTTGAAGAATTCTGGAAGTCAGTTTCTATTTTCCCTAAAACAATAAAGTTATTTGAAATTACAAAGGTAGCTTCTAGTAAAATGTTATATCTGATGAACAAATACACAAAACTACACGTAGCTTATTTAAAATACATGTACACATTTCGTTATTGCATATGGTAGATTTTGTAAAAAAAATTACATAGGGAAAAGTATCACTTCCAAATCATCGGTCATATCGGGTTTAGTCATATATTCAATCCTAACTGTTAAGTTAAACTCAGATTAATATTTTCATTTATTACAATTTATGGATACGGTGAATAATCGGTGAAATTTGACTCACAATTTTAACAGTCTGATAGCAATCCGATTCAATCTTTCTACAGTTAATAGGTTAACTGAGTTATGTTTTTTGCCACCATTAGATTTTTATTGACGTATGTTAACAAGTAATCAACCAATTGTAAACAATAATATTAAAACGAGAAAGGAAAAAAAATATAAAAACGATTTACAAACCAATTCCATCATTGACAACTCCAGTTGTAGGTTTATCTATATCTACAGTGAAACCATCTGATGACAGTGTAACATGCTGTCCGGCATAACTGTAACCAACAACATTAGAATAATACCAAACACTGGGTAAAAGAGGGACACGGCTGATATTTACAGTTGTCATTGCTCCTGGCAAGTCAATGTCCACTTTATGAATGTCATGTCCTTCAATGATCAACAAAGAATCATTTTAGATAGAAAATGCGAAATTATGAACAATAGTGATACTATATGTATATAAACTTCACTGTAAAGTAATACTAGGACTTCTTTCTAAAATAGTACAGAAAATTTCATATAACCAATGCAAAGGAATATATACAAGTTCATTTATACCCACTAAAAATGAAAAGTAAACCTAAGATGGTACCAAATACATGTTAATTAGCAAAACCTTTCAGCAGAGTAACGATAAAAAGCAAAGATGAAGAAATACTGAACTCCTTTTTAACATTGTGCGATAACTTAGTTGGAATAAAAACTTAATTGTCTATCACTTTAAATATTGTGACTTGTTGTATAATCAGTATAGTTTTCAAATGCTAATTGGTACTGCCAAACTATTCTTAACTAAGCCCCGAATGTGCAATTATTATATGGAATACCTAATATTCTAAAATTATTATTTGTTAATAAAACATTTTGCAAACACGCGATGAAAATTCTCCGTTCCAAATGTGTTCGTTTATGACATGTTATGCTGTATTTTGTATCATGTAATTTTTATGTTTTAATTCATGAAATACATGAAACATATTTGTGCATGCAGTACAATTCTAAATTAGGGAACTTACCTCCTGGATAAGTACTTAGGTACACACGAAACCTGGTTATAATTGAGTTGGCGTTTATGAATGCCTCATGCCATGACAAAGAAAACAATCCGCCTCGCAACATAACATCAATATCGTTCTTCCAGTGACCAGGCAAATGTTCTTTCACCTAATTTGACGAAATGGTGTTTTATCTGGTGTTAAGATAAAAGGAGGACAAGGAACAAACTATTATTGTCAACTGCACTGGATTAGTTGATTTTCTCTTAGTTTTAAATTGTCAATGACATGACATACTAGTAACTAAAGCGTTGTCTTTGTAACGAGATTTTCCCAAATTGTTGTGACTATTATTGTTTGCTAGTTTATTGACCCAGATAATATACAACTTTACAGACCATACCGGTGCTAATAACATACACTTTTATTGAAAAGAAGGTACGTCTAGTTAAACCTTTATCAACTCCAACTCAAAACGAAAACGATCACTCCTTACTAACACTTTATGCAATACTTTTTACGAGTTTCATAGCCTTAAAAGAGAAGTTTGTTCTTTGATTTATTCGTTAATTTAAAGACGTAACTATATTAAAAAAAGCTATCATGCGATCAGCAGCCCATTACATCAGAAAAGATTGAGATATGGTTTCACAGAAAATAAAACATGGGCAAAAAGAAATAAGAACAGACGAATGGTCGATAGAAAGAAATAAGGACTTTCCAAAACTTACAAAAGAATTGAAGTGGTATCTCTCTTTGTCAAATATGATCTAATACGATATTGTCTCTGTTCTGTAAATGATTGTTTTCGTCATATAGGTGGTCATGCATTTATCCATTCGTAGGAGTCATAATTGTGAAGCTAGCCATTCGTAATAAAAACTATATTCAGAAATGCATAATGAATGTAGTGAAAGTTGAATGCCAGTAAAATTAATAAAAGAAATTCAATACATTATTCCTGTCCAGTTAGTTTCGAATCGGCTTACTAGTTCTATGCATGATGTTAAAATGAAAAATTTAGATAAAAACATTTGAAAAAATTCGTATCTGTTGGTATTGGTTGATATTGGTATGTGTATGTAGATAAACTCATCATAGATACGTGTTTTATGCAATGTAATGAAATGTCAATCAAAACTCTTACCCCTGCACCAATGAAATTTGTTGTTGTCAAAGGTTTTGACATGACCGTAACACCATCGGATTTGAAATCGGCAAATGTGTTGCTGTCGTACCAAGCTCTCACGAAAAACGAGTAAGATACCATTTCATTGAGAAGTTTTCCTTTGAAAAAAGAAATCACTTGAGTTGAAAAATGCAATTCTTTTTCTATTCACCTGAAAGCTAAAATTAATCTTGTACAATTAGTCTTTCTATCACCACGGATTGTCGATTTGTACTGTATAACAACTCGTTCTTTCTATATTAGAGTTGCCTTTAGTTAGTTGTAATAATATCATAAGGAAACAAAGTAAATAATGTCTCTCCGCTGACATCTACTATCTTCAATTATTTAAGCATTATCTCTCGCCTTGGATTGCTATTTCATCCACTATTTTAACATTAAGTGATTATTTTTCCCTCAGTTTATTGTTTTGCCTGTAAACTTTCTTCAGTGCAATTCCAGGAAAAGTTTGTTGATCAAAAACATTTTGTTTATGGTCATTCTCTTTGTTTTACATTTTCGTGACAATAATTAATAACATCTAAAGAAAAATCATTACATTCATGAATCAAAGGGCAGTTATTGACCGAATACCGTTACATGTATATACATATAAAATCATTTTATTTAATATAAACTACCTCTTGGCAAGGTGTAAATTGCGTTATCTATCTGTCCACATGGATGCCATATATTTTCAACAGTATCATCAATTACACCTTCTGGTTCATCTGAATCTGTTAGTCCAACACTCCATTCATACCTATTTAAATACGCTCATGTAACATTAAAAAGCACGAGGTTTTTGATACTTTCTAATTGTTATTGTTACTTTATTCTTTGAGGTTGTCGTAAGTTCAAACTAGTATTTGTAGATATTATCATCGTAAGATAAGGAGATATGATATGCTTGCCAATGAAACAACTATCCACCAGATCTAAAATGACGTGGATACCGGCAATTATCGGACATCGTACGGCCTTCAACAACGACAAAACCAATACCGTATAGCCCGCTATAGAAGGCCCCGAATGAAAAATGTCAAACGCTTCAAATGAGAAAACTAACAGTTTAATTTATATCAAAACAATTTACGAAAAACAAATATGACGGACATGAATCGAAGACAACCACTTCACTACAGGCCCCTGACTTCGGACAGTCACTTAAAGAATGAGGTGGGTTAAACATGTTTGAATTCATTTACCTTGTAAGCAATTTGAAATTCACCGAATTATCATAATTTCTACATTTTTGAAATATACATGTAGATGCCAAAACAATTATTAGCACATTACATATGTGCAATGCGGTGTTTAAATATTTGTATTTGTGCTTGCATTTTATGCCAAATAAACCACTATTAAGTAATATATTGCAACGAAAATATAATAATGTAAAATAAAGTATTGCATTGTTATATCTAGACTGAAATATATCTACAGTGTACGAACCACTTTGGCAAAAGGTCATGAATTTGAACAATGCGCCATCTTGCAGCAAGCGTATCATGTGATGCTGTAAATTTGATATCTTCTGACTCTCCTTGTCGTAAATCAGTTATGTCATACACAGTTATTAATGTGTTGGTATTATCTGCAATGAAAGATCTGTACAATCAAGCATTAAATTTTCAGTCTGAATAAGACTATACATGTTATGAACATATATATGACACCATTCCAACACATAATCAAAAATGTATTTAAGTATGTTCATATATATTAACAACGACAAAAAGATAGAGAAAACACTCAATACCAAGTATAAAAGAAAAAAGGAGAACAAGTATCATAGCGCAGCTGTGAATATTAGCCAAATTAAACAAGTTTTTTAACAGTTCATACTGAAAGTGTTGTTCCCGTACAGTTTTGTAAGTCACTTTGAAACACATGTCTCTCTTTGGATTTAACCTTCTACAAGTATAATTATATAGGAAACAAGAATGTGTCCATAGTACACGGATACCCCACTCGCAATGTTCAGTGGACCGTGAAATTGGGGTCAAAACTCTAATTTGGCCTTAAAATTAGAAAGATCATATCATAGGGAATAGGGGGCCTCGGTGGCCGAGTGGTCTAAGTAGTTACTACTATAATCACTGGCCACTCAACACTGAGGTTGTGAGTTCGAACCCCGCTCGTGCGGGTGCACTAGACTCCAATTTTAATTGACTAGGATTGTCAGTTTTCCTATCGAAGGTTGGTGGTTTTCTCCGGGCACATCGGCTTCCTCCACCAATAAAATCTCGCCGCCACGAAATAGCCCAAAAGCGGTGCTTAAAAATGGCGTTAAAACACCAAAAATCAAATCAAATCAAATCATAGGGAACATGTGTAATAAGTTTCAAGTTGATTGGACTTCAACTTCATCAAATCTACCTTGACCAAAAACTTAAACCTGAAGCGGGACGGACGGACGAACGAAAAGACGCACAGACCAGAAAACATAATCCCCTACTACTATCGTAGGTGGGGCATAATAAGCTATAATCATCTAACTAAATATAAAAGGAAGGGGAAAGAAAGGCGACAATAAAAACTGGAACAGCAGTGAGCCAGTAATAAAATCAATCTGAAAATGAAATACAAAATTTATAAAAGAAATGCCCAAATAGCTATCTTACTACGTGTATTGTCTATACAGCTATCTCCCTTTATAGGACATCTTTTATCTTTAGGTGCACATACACAATGACCTAAACATGTTCTTGAGGAACACCGTCTTATTAGTTCTAAAGATCCTCCGGGAATTAAATTGAATTGATTGTGTATCATATCACTTCTCAGTCCAACCTGATAAATAAAGAATTGTTGAATCGTTAAATTTTGGTCAAATGATTATATTTACTACCGCATTCTATAAAGAGAAAGCAATTGTTAATATTGAGAATGTAGTGAACATGTAAATTTTCTACCTTGCTTTGAATCATCTTTTAATAATTACCCTTTTTTTGGATAGAATTGTTAAGACAATGCGTACAATGTTGTAAAATAGAAGCATCCAGCATAAAAGCTTGATTCCACGTAATTCTTTTTTTGACTGGTCAATTTTTTTTCCATCTTAAGAGTAAAATAGTCAAAGAGATACATAAATATTGATATCTTCTTGACTTGATAATTTATGATTATATAAGGGCTAATTTTCTGTTATATTTATATGATTGTTTTTATTATATCATTGACGAAGCATTATTCTATGGAACATTGGCCATCTTACGGTATTTACTGCCCAAATACTGACAAACACAAAATCATCAGCTTCAAGAGGAGTTGTATCTACTTCATAAATCTGAACCTTTCCTTCGTCCCCTTTGTCAACACTGGTATTTGTGACTTGGTGGAGAAATTTTTGTGGACTACCATGCTGCAACATTAAGATCAAATAAAACATATATCCTGAAATTGTGTCAGCTCTGCTACTTTGTAAACATGTAACTAGTATAGATTTGCTACAATGAACTTCCAGCAAGGATTTGTTTTCCATTACTTGATTTTAGGGATTTTAATTCCCACCGCCTCCATTCTATAACAAATCATACGCGCACACACACACAACCGTCCACATACACTCACACAATTTATAAATCGTTAAGCAACAATTATTTCAAGCGTATTTGTCTTTAATAGAATTTATGATTTCAGCATATATTCGGTTATTTGAGTAAGCATACCTGTATTGTTGGTAGCTTTACTACCTACTTTCAGTTATGTATGTATTTTGACTTAAAACTATGCGCAAAATGGCAATTTTTCGGTCTTTTACCGTGCGAAATTTCTTGTATCAATAAACTAATATATTCCAAAACAAACATGACCAAGGATGATTAAGTATTCAAATTCAGTCATATGTCTCTATTTCAAGTCCTGTGTTTCAAAGCAGAAAATAAACAATTTGTTCAAGATCGTACGTTTCGTATGCATTATTGATAGACGACTTGCCATCCTTTCAATCCTGGTATCTATGATGAGTTTATTTCCAAACTCATTATTCTGACTCCGAACAGTCTACGTTTGACTCCTAAATGCCACGTGCTAAATGATAATGCAAACATTACTAATACTCAAGTCTTTGGATTGAATCAGTCATGGATCATAGCAACCTCTTCCGAAGTATTCGGAGCCTACGTGCTACCACAATTCCACCGAGGTGGTGATATAGATGTATAACATTTTAATACGTTATTCAAAGCCAATGTAAATATCTAAACGTACATTATAAAAATGCTAGAAAATGTTATTCCAACAGATTGTAACTGACATACTAGTACCTACACCATTGAGATCGTCCATCATATATTCACTGCCGACTGAAACCATATAATAATCTATACCAGTATGGAGATCGGAAAATCCTAACCATGATAACCATAATTTGAATCTTGACCACATCATCCATTCAGGAACATGACGATCAAGATTTCCAGCATGATCAGTGTGAATAGCAAATATTCCTTAAACAAGTGAAATGTATAACTGTCTTGTGATATCTTATTTGTAAAAGAAATGCTAAAAATCTGATATCACATTAGTAAAGTCAAATATTAAATACTGTTTGAAACTAAGTTTGCAATCAAAACAGCCAAAGTTGAACTCAAATGGTTTAATTTGTATTAGCTTATATTGCTTGGAATAGAACGTTAATTAAATACAGATTCTACAACTGCATCAAGTGTGATACGATATTTCTCCACTCGAGTATTTTCAAATTTAAAACGCGAGGCTTACCAAGCTTTTTAAATATTTAAAATTTGATTGTCTTGAGTGGAGAAATATCGTTTTGCACGAGTTACGGTGATTCAGTTGTACGGAAAGAGTATAAATTGGGTAAGAATTAGAATTATGATAGTTTATAAATACTGCACACAAAAATTGGTAACATTCGAGGATATTGTTAATTTCATGGTAACTTTCCATAAAACTTCGAATTACTTTTAAAAATTAACAATATTTTGACAATGTACGATGATTTTTCCAAATGATAGCGTTTGACAGATAAGCTTGACTCTATAATTCATATTCCAATTGTCAATTTTTTGTACTTGTTGTTTTTCATGTAGTCAGAGAAAACCTTTCAGGAGTATTTTTCTTAAAGTAAGGATGAGGCATTGCTGATTAGACATATGTTTATTTATTCTCAGTTTGTCTATTCTTGATGCGATTTAGAACTTGTATAAAATTAAAGACCATACCTTTATTTTTAGTATATCTGAATTGTTAATTGCTCTTTTAATAAAGTCAACTTTACATCACATTTTATATATGGTATCTAACTTACAAAATGATAGTCATATGTGTGTTCTATCATTCTCACACCATACGGTTGATTGTTATCAACATTAAACATTTTCTTTCTCAGAAACGGTCAGAAGAAGGATAAGAATGCACAATTATAGGCTTTCAATATCTATTCAGACGGTTTTATAAAAAATGCTCTGATTTTCTACTGCTTCTTTTTCTTCTTTAAATTAATGACACGGTTTTATGCATGTATTACTTTGACTCTTTTAACAAGGTGTAGTCTATGTTTTAAGGCAATTTAGGAGATTAATATTTGGGTCAACAGATGAAAGAATTTTTCGCTAATCCCTTTGCCATGGTCAGTATATGCTTTTCCTCCTTTTAACTCAACACTATTCTACAACATGATTTTGAACGTGTTTCTATGGCTAGTAAATCATTATATCTCAACCGAAATGCTGAGATGGGTAAAACCGTTTTCACAATACAAACCATTTAAAAAATAACATCCGTTGGCTAATATTTTATCGAAATATAGTTATTGAAAATTTGAGAATATCACAACGTAGACAAATTTACTTTAAATGTCTCTATCTCCACATAATGTGTGAAAACAAATTAAAATTCACATTTCTGTATTCATCATCACGTTAAATAATCAAATCTTCAACGTATATGATGCGAATGTATTTATTGTTATCAAGAATTTATCAACAACAAAAAAATCATTGTATGTATACTATTTTTTTTATTGTTTTACCAGGCGTGATTTTACTATAAATGTATATTATATAGATAAATAAGTATGCATTAATTTTATATTTCTATAGAGTATCCAAAGAACAGAGATTATCAGTACATCGATTGTGTATCAGGGTCATTTTAGATTAAAAGTTTACCTGTTATAGGCGGTGTGTTATCTACTAAAATGCCATCCGATGTTTCTTTCACACAGACTTTAGCTCCATTGCATGCAATAACGTTAACAAAGTACTCGCCACCGTCATGTAGATCAAGTCTTGTATATGTATAATCTCGAACAATGCCATTTAGCTGTTTTAATAGAGAGACAACAAGGCATAAACAAAATTCTTGGTGCAAAATAAAACAATGACTTTTTTCAACAATTTATTAACTAATTGGTTTTATTCGATGAATAGTATGGTAATTTTGTTTAAATTGTATTGGCGCTTTACGTTCGCATTATTAAGGGAATTGTGATGTACATTCTAGTTTACCAACAACAATAAGCTTATAGTTTGATAGAAGATAGAAATAAGATCACATTTACCTTTGTTGAAGTAGTATTAATTTCTCCTCCTCGGTGGGACGAGACTGATATATATTGTCGCTCTATAAAAGATTCTTCGTCATTCACTTCCCACGTGACTTTAAAACAACTTCTATACACAATGGAGTTCTTTATAATTGAGCCAATCTCGTTATATAATGCAGGCTTTCTGGTGAAAACTGGTGGAGTATCATCAACAAGGAATCCGTTTGATGTTGCTTCTGAGTAGAGACCTTGAAGACATTTTAATTGTCTTAAATTATTTGATGATAAACAGTGACATTAACATTTTATCGTTCTCCTGATATTGATAGAACAATTGAAAATATTCTTACCGTTTATTTTGCAGAATTTTTCATATTCATTCTCATGAAAGCTAGAAGTCATACTATATCGATTTTCACAAGTTAAATGGATTAAACAAAATTTATGTCCAAATACATGTACATCACTCAAATTATGCTGGATTATAAAAATTACATTCTGATGCAAAGTGCGTTTCATCTAATAACTTTCTTGATTGTGTATATTAAGCTACAATTACCAAAAACAATTGATCTCATTCTTCGTAAACCGGTTGGACTATCGTATCAACTTGGAACGTGCATTGAAATATTTTAAATCTAATGCAGAATTAGTTTTATGTTCTGCGTATTTGTTTTAACTTCTCTATAGAACATAAAAAAAAATGGATATTTTCTTTTTGAATTTTTTTTTCAATGTTAACTATGTTAGTTTATTCTTTGCTATATACTAAAAAAAAAACGATTTGAGCATATTGTGGTTTATAATAACACTTATAATTAAATAATAAAAACAGTACAAAATAAAATAAATGAAACATGATTGGTGGTTAATATTTTTAAAACAATACATATGTCAAGGATTGTGTGGTGCATTAATAAAAGCATATACTTTCTGAATTGATAGTAAAAGAGTATAAATGATTTTCTCTAATTCTTACACGATTTATCCTTTTCCTGATCTGTTGATTATTTTTATTAAATCGACGTGTGCTTCGTTTGATCACAGTTCTTCATTGGTCAAAATTTGATTATGACGTCCAATTTTCTTGCTTTTCTCTGAATTCCCTATTGTGACGTCATGAAAAAAGTCGACCATGTCTGATGACGTCACATAAAAAGAAAACATCTTTTTGCAGATCACCCGAAAGGGAGGACTAAATTTGTCTGCATATCGTTTAAAAATCATTAAAGAAACAGATTCCACCACCAAATCTTGTGCAATACGATATTTATCCACTCTCGACAGTTAAATTTTAAATATGTAAACGCTCGGCGAGCTTCTCGTTTTAAATTTGAAAATTTAATTGTCTCGAGTTGATAAATACACTCGATACAGTGATATAATATATATTTAATGTTAAGTATTACTAAACAAATGGATACGATATACAACTAATAAGATTTACCTGCTTTGTTGTATGCACGAACAGTTATATAAATTCTAGTTTCAGTAGGAATTTCTGTCGATGTATTTGGGAACACAATGATATCTGTCAAAGGCACATCTCGGTCCGACACAATATCATTCCCACCAGCATTTGTTCCTATTCGTACTGAATATTTGTCCAAACCCGATTGAGGATCATTAAATCCTTGCCATGTTGCAGCTACATAATACCTGCATAAAAGATATACAGATTTTTTTTTATATACTGTTTTAAAATAATACGAATATTTTCTTTTCATGAAATTATTTTAAACAGCAGATAGATGTTGAGCTTGTTCCTATTAAGTACTTAAAGTGTTCTTTGCTATGACATAATAATATTTTGTTCCATGTAGCCGTGTTTGTGTAGTAAAAAATACCCATATATTTGCATAAAGTTGTTATTTTCTATTGATTTTTGATTACGCCCTTTTGCATCTAAGACAGAATCATGTAAATGGCAATTGCTGTTTCTGAATGTTTTGTTTTAGTTTTTCGAGATTTCGGGTCTCAGGTTAATTCAAAAACTGTCTAGTATTCTTGGCAAGATAGAACGAATGATAATTATTTGTTGTTTTTTTCATTACTAGAGTTTATTTATTCGATTTCCAAATTAATGAGCATTTTTAACTATTATGGCTAGTCTTGATAAGTTTGATAAACAGCTGAAAACTGCCAGGAAACAGCATTAAAACGCTATAACTAGTGGATTCACATTCATTTGTATTGTTATTTAAAAATCATCAATCTGTGTTTTAATTATGTCAAAGTCAAATAATAAATAGAAAAAAAATAAAAATTACATTTAATATTATTGAGATTTAAAAGATATAATGAGGGCCTCGCAAATACTGCATTTCTAGTTTCTTTATTGCCTACAAAATTTTATGAAAATATGACATTGAAACTCATAAAAAAAGTTTTAGAGAATACTTTTCGCGGATTTTTTTTATTAAAAGAGTATCTCTTTTCTAAACAGTTTAATGGGAAACAAATTAGAAAAGTAATGTAAACACACATACACCAGGAGAGTGATAAGCTACTGAACAGTCTGACAATATTAATTTGATGACAAGTCAAATATTTTGAATATGTCCTAATTAGTGAACTGCAGTGAACATTTCTGAAATTTTCCGAAATTTTAAAAAAGCATGAATAATGGTTTAAACGTTTGTTTTATTTACTTTGAAATTGTGTCATATACATATATGTATTATGAATGAACAAGAAAATGTCAGAAATAGAAAAGATAACTTACTTTAATGATTGGTAGTTGATGTCTTTGTAATCAGCACCATCCTTCACTTTCCCTGAATTTGGTGGACTGTTGTCAATGACTACGCCGTCAGATGTACTAGAGGTGCATAGGTCAGCTGTATTACAGGCAGTCACCGTTGTAAAGTACCGAATACCCACATCAAAATTTATACCTTTCAAGTTGAAATCTTATAAAAAAATACGTTTGTTTGTTAAATCTAATTTTGTTGATATTTTAATGAATAGATATAGAGAATCTATCTCTTAATATGATCTTTTTTTTTGTTTATTTATAGATACACAAGACAACAAAAAACAATTAAAGTGAACATCTCATCTTCTTATATCTATCTGATATTAAAAATCCAATCGGATTATCGGGGACTACCAATTAAATGGACTTTCGAAAACCTCATGTTCCAGTACATGTATATTCCAAAAATAGATGACTGTGTAATATTCATTAGATTGAAGAATATGAATTTGAAGATTCAGAAAGATTCAGCAACGAGTTAAGGACTCTTCGTGAAACTCGTTTTACTGCTTGCTGGAAAGGGATATGTCGGTGCTTGTAGCTTTTGGTTTGTTAATTTTTAGCTCGAGTATTAAAAATAATAAAATCTATGTGGCAATCCCCCACACTTAGCCGTCCTGAAAAAGATTGGCTTCATTTGAGTCGTTTTTGTGTTGATGCTTTAAAATGAACTGAATGTTCAAAGGGGACAATAATACGATTTTGCAACTGGCATATAAATAAAAATGACATTGAAAGTCAACTTGATCCGATTATTTTAATAGAAATATAATGAATCATGATCATTTAAATCGGACATGGACAACACTGTCATATATTACCATAAATTATTCCCACATCGTGAGTTTGAAGTACATCATCACAGCCAGGACATGTTCCAATAGCAATTTTATAAACTTTAACTGATGTATGTGGATCATAAAACTCTTCCCAGTGGGCGCCAATTCTAGTTGTGTCAGTTTGAAAATCAATATCTTGGTTGTTATCTATATAACTTGATGAAATGCCATCAAAAACTTGTCCAGCTACAGGTGGAGATTTATCATAAATGTATGCCCATGAGGATGCTGTAGTTACTAGATTTGCTTTATTGATTGCCTATGAAATAATTTTGTAACAGCATTATGAATGATTTTCAGTTTTTCAGCTCACCCAACGAGTGCCACTAGTGAAGCAGCTTACCCTTCCGGAGCACCTGATATCACCACCGGTTTTGGTGAGGTTCGTATTATTCAGTCCTTAGTTTTCTATACTATGTTTTGTTAACTGTTTACTGTTGTTTTGGCTTTTGCCGTTTTTCGTTTTTTGTCATGTCTTGTCAGTTCGTTTTCGACTTATGAGTTTGAACATCTCTTTGGTATATTTTGTCTCTCTTCTAAATCAACATTTCTTTAAAATGTGTAGAATTTCAATATTTCACATTTCACATTTGTATTTTGCAATATGTATTTTTGAAAAATTCAGTCCAAAATTCTGAACGTGGGACTTGATTTTGAGCCAGAGAGACTTATGGGCTTTTTTCCCTCTTAATTAAAAATTAAGATATGTATCCTTGATTAAAAATATTTTTGGTATTTTTTCTTTTTCTTTTCTTGGACTGTTCTCAATTCCTGTGTAATGAATATTCAGTTCGAAATGAAGACAAAACAGAATGGCAGTCTATCAAGGTTTTATTTACCCTTTTTACATGAACTTAGCTTTACAAGTACTAATTTAATTACTTGTTCAGTAGTGTGAAATGTTGTTCATTCATCAATATGTTTAACTTATGTACATATTGCATGTCTAAAAGGCTTGCGCTGAAGTCTAAAATTCATTGATAGTAACGATGTCGCTAGTTAAATTACAAATATTGTTTATTCAAAAAATTTATATACTGTATTTGAGCTTATGTTTGGTTTTGACATGCTACTTTTTTTTGTTTGTATCTGTAATCGAGAGTTTTGAGTAAAGACTATCAGTTAAGACAGTACTTTACAACCGGAAGCGAAATGCTTCAATTGTGATTTAAATGATGCATTGTGTTTGTAAATTTCAAATATTTCCAGTTTATTACATTATTTTATCTTGCAAAAACTACTTTAGATAAGTTGAAATTGGACAGTATTAGCAGTTCTGCTAAGGCTTTTTTTGCTTTCAAAAATATTGGTCTCCAGTTTCACATATCCAATAACTGGTTTGTGCACAGAAATGACACCAACGTTTTTAATGACCGGGATACAACTTAATGTTTTCTATGCATTCTTTTTTTCAGTCGCATTAACGTTTAACTAGCATCTCGTTATATATTTAAACGTTCATGAATAAGAGAGTATTTATTCGAAAGGTATGACAACATGATCAAGAAATCATAACAAAGCTCTAACCTTAATTGTAAGGAAGTATGCATGTCCCTCGTGTACATATGTATCCAAGAAATTAACAGATAATTCACAATCTTCCTTTGTTACAGTTTGTTGCACGATGTCATTAAATTTTGGTCTTGACCCTACTTCCAACATATAGTACTGTATTCCACTTTCTACATCGTAAAACACATCCTTCCATCTGCAAGTTAACCAGAAGCAATTATTTAACATTTTTAGTATTAAAGATGGAATGCACAAATTGTAGACTTTGGCATGTGGCGTGTGGACATAAATAAGTTTTATAAATTAAGATTTCCCGATCTCTATCGGACTTCTACTTCCGGTGAATTTCCTCATCCCTGCAGTCGGTGTTTAGTTTATATGATTTGAATGAAACATTTTTGTTGTAAAGTTTAGAATACATTATAAAACCGGGAATAGGATGGAAGTTCAAATCCCGTAAATCGATTAAAAAAGACAAATCAAGGTTACAATCAAAAAAGGAGCTTGGCCGTATGCGTCTCCTACTAAACAAACATCTCCTGTCTTCACACTCAGTCATAATTGGGAATATAACACAATCAGTTGAATTACAAAGCAGACGACTATACTGGTGTCTAAACATCTAAGACCACGAAAACGTTTTGCTAGTGAGTAAAGATATCATCTAATCGTATCGGTTAACCAATTCGTGATGTTGACCGTACAAACTTGTGTAGTCTCGATTTCAGTAGTTCCTTACTGATAATTCCGATGTCGCAGTTTTAATGAAAGGACAACATCCCTATTAATGAAGTCCATATATTGTGACACGCACGAGCGAACCGTCTTAACTGAGATATTTTAACCATATTATGTTCTGTAATCTTATTAATCTTACTGTGAATTCATTTATTTTCGTGGGTACCAATTTTCGTGGATTGAGGAATAAGGGCAACAGTAGTATACCGCTGTTCAAAATCATAAATCGATTGAGAAAACTTGCATTTTCGTGGATATTTGATTTCGAGGTTTTGCCAAAGTCTGAATAGACTCCTACAAAACATTTGTTATTCGTTGGACATTGGAATTCGTGGTTCCTTGGTAACCATGACATCCACGAAAATTGGTATCCAACGAATAATAATGAATCCACAGTATTTTCCGAAACTGATTGTTACGCAAAAGTGTTATAGTATTATCTGTTCTTTTGAGACTTAAAGTTTTCAGTATTTACTTATAAAAATACGAAAGGTCGCAATTAACAAATCACAATATCTGGTTATCTTCAAGAAAGAAATCGTTATAGTTTGTTTTTGTTTCTTCTTGTTCTCTCTGTATGTAGTTTTGATCAAGCGTTTGCATTCAAAATTTAGCAACTGAACTGATGTTCGATAGCTTTAAAGTTGACATTTTGTTATTAATTCTTACAATTAAACAAAAGTGCTGGTTTTCGGCCAACAGAAAATCATGATAACGTAGATGTGTCCTCCCAACAGTTTAGATTTTTATATGTAATTTAGATTGTGACAAGATTATTGCATTAACTGGACACAGTCTGAAATGAAAAGTAAAATCACAAAAATACTGAACTCCGAGAATGTTCTTTACTAAAGCTGAAGTTATTTTATTATTTCTACTTAATTAGAAATAAATTCAGTTCATCAAACCTGTCATTGAGAAATAGAAAGAGGAGATTTTTCCGAATCTTCACATTTCGGCTACATATTTCTTGCAGTCTGATTGTGAGTTTACGAAAGCAAATAAGTCTGCAAACGTTTAAAAGGCATTCTTGTTTAATATTTCCAAAAGTTCATCTTATAATTTGATTAATTATACGAACCATGCCTTTACTTCAGTCAAATTGTTTATGTGTCTTCCGTCTATTGAAATAGGCCTTGTCGTTTGTTGTGGTGGTGTAATGTCAATTCTTACTGAGGATGAATGAGAAATAGAACTTCTGCCAGAAAAATCCATTCCTTCAAATGTAATAATAGAATAATAATGAAATGTGAACGCTATATATACAAGTATAATGATTATGAATATTCTACGAATTCCTTTGTAAAAGAGGGACGAAAGATACCAGAGGGACAGTCAAACTCACAGATCGAAAACAAACCGACAACACCATGGCCAAAAATAATAAAACAAACAGACAAACAAACAATAGTACAGATGACACAACATAGAAAACTAAAGACTAAGCAACACGAACCCCACCAAAAACTGGGCGTGATCTCAGGTGCTCACGAAGGGTAAGCAGATCCTGCTCCACATGTGGCACCCGTCGTGTTGCTTATGTTATTACAAATCCGGTAAATAGTCTAATTCGGTAGGTCACATTCGTGAAAAGGGAAGGGTATTGTAGTTACGACATAAGGAACATATCCGATATCATCTGTGAAACGGTTATTCCATAACGGTCAACCAACTCGTGATGGCGACCGTAAAATTTACGAAGGGATGATTTCAACTTCACCATTTGGAACTATTGGTTTAATAGCTTCCTTGTGAGCAGCAATACTCTATCAAGGAAATCATGATAGGAAATACAAGCCCGGGAATGAATATCGTATCAATTGGGAGATATATACTCCGTATGCAAGCGCTGCTGGAATGTTGCTACATGGAAATGGAAAGTTCACAATTGGAATCATCTCTTTTGTCGTAAAGTTTTGTTTTCAATCGACTCTCATTGTAACATTCCCTTGTCTTTTGAAGTGCACTATTTTCTTAGTGTATCATATGTGAAAATTACTCATTTCAACATGTTCATGTTATCTTTATACTTATAAGTAGTTTTTTTTTATTTGAAATTTTGATATTGCTCCATAGAACAAAGAGAAATTTAAATTGTAATTATACAATGGAAAATTTGACAACCGGTTTTTTTTTCTCTTGCAATTTAAATTTAAATTTCGTGTAATCTATATAAATCATGGAGATGTATTTTTACGTCAAAAAGATGACTATTCCTTAAGACAATAAAACAAAACAAATATACCCCATGAGATAAACATACGGTCTCGTCAATATCTTAAAATTTTGATCAGTATAAAAACAAAACGATTAATGTATAATTGATAAAAGAAATATTATAATATGCATATAACTCATTGAAGCTTAATGTTTTTTTCTTCTTTTGTAAACATTAAGAGCTTGCTGTAATGCATACCTTTAACTGATGCAAAGTAGTCATGACCATTTTGGAAATTAAGGTTATGGAGAGCTATATGATTCACTAGACCAACATTTTTAAATGGAACAATGTCTGATCCACCTTTAACTGAACCTATGGAAGATTAAAAAAAGAGATTTTATTAGGTACATACATTTCTTTACAGAAAAACACGACAACGTATGATTTTATATTTAAAACAATCTTTTCTAAATCGATTTACAAGATTTGAACATTGGTAAAATACCTTGTCCGTAATTCATATACAGCATATTATACAATTATATTTTACAATAAACATTAAATAGTAAAGCATATATATTTTAGCCAAACAAGAGAGAAAAAACGTGATTCTAGATGTGACCTGTTTGCTTACATTTCAATTATTTGGCATTTCCAATGTGAAGATCACTCGTACTAAATTCGGGAAAAAAAAGCATCAAAGATATCACTTAAACGCTAGATGCGCGTTTCATCCACCATCTTCTTCGGAAAATGTCTGTACGAAGACAGGAATATGACAGTTGTTTTTCATCCGTTTCGTGGTAGATAACGTTTGATTTTGTCAATTATAAATGTTATAGTGGACTTCTCCTTTTTCAATTTACATTGGAGTTCGGTATTTTTGTTAAACTTATTTTCGACTACAAACGACTCATCTTAACCTCTTTAACGATTTATTCTTTTTTCTTATGTTAGCATTATTATCACATAGTCTACTATGGACTTAATTTGAGGTTTTAAGGACAAGACATATTTAGTTTTGCTCTTTAAATATATGGATTATTGCAATGATTTTGTGTAAAATATTTTCCTGGTTTGTTTCGCACTGCAATCTACCTGAGATCCGTTGTAGATAGGAACGTGTTGCCGATTAGTAAATACGTTAAGATTTCAAACAAGAGGCTCTAAATAGCCTGTCTCGCTCAGCTAGGTATATGTACATAATCAACATTGGACTCTCTCCATCGTTGTAGATAGAAATCTTTTTCTTTTTTGTTAATCTTGTATTGCTGATCCTTTTGTCTGTTTAGTTTCTATCTATCTTCATTTGTTTTTGCTCATAACACAAAAGAGGACATGCACTCCTATGAAGAGTGACAGTCTACTAACTATATCCGCAAAATTTGACTTGTTTGTTGATCATTTTTGTAATTTAATGTTTCTATTTATCTATTATATTTTTATCATATAAGGCGAAACGCAAAAAAATGGAAAAATCGTCATTAAAGGGCAATAACTCCGATAAGGAGTCGTCGGAAAATTTCCTCTTTGTTGTCTTAAATCTAGATCTTGTCTTGCTGATCATTTTTTATCATTTAAGATTCTATCTATCTATCATAATTTATAAGATATAAGGAAAAACACTAAAAAATGGTAAAAATCGTCATCAAAGGACAATAACTCTAATTAGGAGTTGATTGACGATTTCGACCATGTCATACTTTTTCGTAGATCTTGTATTGCTGATCATTTTTGCAACTTAAAGTTTCTCTTTATCTATTACAGTTTTCAAGATAAAAGGCAAAAATGAAAGAAAAAAAAAGGTAAAATTTGTAATTCAAGGGCAATAACTCCTATAAGAAGTCCCCTGACAGTTTTGAAGTAAATGAACAATTGGTTGATCTCAACATTTTTAACATTTTTTGCCTTTCAGATTTCCTCTATTTATAATGGTTTTCAAAATAATAGACAAAACTTGCATTTTACACCTATGTTCTGTTTTTAGTTATGTCGGCCATCTTGGTTGGCAAACAGGGTCATCGGACACATTTTTTAATAATATAGATACCCCAATGATGATTGTGGCCAAGCTTGGTTAAATTTGGTCCAGTAGTTTCAGGGGAGAAGATTTCTGTAAAAGTTAACGGACGACGACGACGGACAACGTACGATGAACGCCTGGTGATGAGAAAAGCTCACTTGGCCCTTTGGGTGAGGTTAGCTAACAAAAAGGGAAATGAAGTTTTACAATATATTATCAGTTAAAAATGATAAAAACTGGCATGTAAATAAATAACACATTCAAGTAGTTCTGCTTTTGAAATTATATATCAAAATTATTGTCAATCTAAATTGAAAAAAAATTTCTGTAAATTTCATTATTTACCAATGGCTATGCTATATTCCAATATTCCAGAATTATGACTAGTCGTTTTAAATTCCTCGACATCCGTGAAAGATTCCCAGTTGATGAAAATATCTGAAGTTGACGACTGAAACTAAAACAAAAGACAAATTAACAAATATTTTTAATGAAACTTCTTAAGCACCAATTGTCTCAATTTGACATAGATATTTGATTTTGTACGCTAGAAACATAAATGTTGGAAAATATGGAATGATTGCCAACGAGACAACTTTCTTCCAAAGAACAAATGATGTAGAAGTTAGCAACACATTTTTCTAAGAAATTTATAATGAAACCAAAACAATCAAAAGCCGAAGAAGAATAGAAAAAGCAATAAATCAGTGAAAAGTTCAATACAATTTGCAGGCTTAAATATCTTAGTCGCACACCTTATATATACTGTCCACGGTCGGTCCAATCCAAACTTTTCCAGGAACAGGAGGAGTTAGGTCAACTGTTATACCATCACTACATTTATTTATTTCTAACAAAGTTTCTGTCCATTTTTCATGTTCAACTTTTGTTGCTGGAGCATGTATACAAATCTTGTAACGTTTTCCGTGCTGCAGATGGCTTTCCTCATTAAACAATACATTGATGTATACTTCTTCTGAAAGAAGATTTTAAATAAACATATAATATATATACGTCTATTGACAACTATGTTAAAGACAGTCTCCCTAACACCATTCATTACATATACGTCGTGTGAAATGGAACTTTAACAATGATATATATATGCAGAAGCACATTTTGTTTCTTCGCTAAATGGGATTTTAAACCATTTTTCTGAGACATTATGACAACTCATCCTGCACACGTTGATGCTTCGATGTCACATATTCCGCTTTCTCATTTGTTAGCCATTCATAACTAGTTTATTAAATATATTTGACGTACAACAATAGTACATAAGTTAATGTAGATTTCTACTCATCAATACTTGATGATAACAAATTTCTCTTCATACAAAGAAGAATAACTTGATCAACATGTTGAAACTAGGATTTCGCAATGTACAAAGTTTAATGCAATCTGCTGAAGCATGTTTGGAGATTTACGTGCATAATGAAACATACCAAAAACTGCTAGTTCAATGAATCATAACCCTGGTATTTGTCAATGGACAGAGTTCCGTCTCTATATCGGGTTTTACATCATCAGATCTTACATTGTACAGGTCATGACCATTTTATGAAGCATATAGATGGTTTTGAATCCACAAACAACAAAATAACAGAATTATAAAATAAATCTACTTTCGATAGGACATAATTACGGAAATACTCAATTGAGGAAAAAAATCATTTGTGATGCAGTAAGTAAGCCCATCACTATCAGTAATGCTACGAATGTTTTCTTTAAATTGTATAAAAGACTCAATAGTTAGTTTGGATAGATAGACAGACAGACTGGTTGATGAACCTCTAATCTTGTTTGCGTTGGTATAATAATCTGCATTTGCGTCTTTTGAGAATTTCATGTACAGTTAATCCTTTCGTGTTTCAAGTTAAATTTAGCGTCTTGTAATTTTGTATTATAGTAATACTGCTATTTTTATATTTGTATATTGAACGATTTCGATTATAACACATTCCACGAAGGCAAATAATCAATCTTATACCACAAAAAAATAATACCATCAAA